GCAGGTGCTGCTCCGGCGTCAGGGTGCGGGTGCTTCAGAGCCCGGCAGGAGGTGGGCACAGGCAGCCCAGGTCTGCAAGGCAGGGGTGGGGAGAGGGAGGTTGTGAGGTGAGGGATTTGGCCAAGACTTCGATATTGGCTCCCTGACAGCCCTGAGGTGGAAGGGGTGGGATTTTGTGGCAGTGGGAGTTGTGGCTCGGTCTCCTGGACCCTGTTCTAAGGAGCACAGGGTCCCGCATGTCTTGTTTTGCTGTTGAAGGGATGCGGGCATGCAATCTACCTGTTTTACTGTGTGTTTTACTCTCAGCTTTGCTGCTTGCCTGCTTTTTGGAAGGCTTGATCTGTTTGCTGAGCAGGCTAACCCTTCTCTGGGGCTTACTGACACTGGGTAGGGAACTCATTGCAGGCTCTCATACCCTTAAGATATGTAATGTGCCATGTTGCTGCAACACAAAAAATGCAATATTAGGGCCTTTTCAGACACAGTGCACTTGATCCAGCTGCTGCAATAGCCAGATCTCTGCTGCCATGCTTAGAAGAGGGATTTAACCCTTGCAAAAGCAAGGAGCGAATGTTAGTCCAGGAAGCGCTGGCTGTTCTGCTTTGGGTTTTCCCCAAGCAATTCCAAAGCAAGTGTGTAACCTGGTTAATGATACAAAGGCAGTAGCGTACTGTATAGTAGTGATGTGTTGGTAGTGGTGTTTGTGTCCAGTGCTAATTGTTGTTATTTTTAGTAGGTGTTGCCAATGGATGAACTGGTGCATGACTTGGCCTCAGCCTTAGAGCAGACTTCGGAACAAAACAAGCTGGATGAGCTATGGGAAGAGATGGCTCTAAGCCCACGGCAGCAGCGGCGTCAGCTTCGCAAGAGACGGGGCCGCAAGCGACGCTCAGAGTTCGCGCATCAGGCAGAGCATGCCTGCTGCTACAGCGAGGCCTCGGAGTCAAGCTTGGACGAGGCTGTCAAGGATTGCCGTGAGGTGCTGACAGCCAATTTCAGTGACTCTGATGACATGGCAGTGGTCAAACGACACCCAGCTCTCAGTGCCACCCTGAGGAGCAAGCAGCACTTATGGCATGAGTCAGACTCCTTTACAGAGAATGCACCCTGTCGACCTCTCAGGCGCCGACGGAAAGTCAAACGTGTGACATCAGAGGTGGCTGCCAGCCTGCAGCAAAAGCTCAGGGTGTCAGAGTGGAACTATGAGAGGGGCTGCAGGTTCAAGTCAGCCAAAAAACAGCGGCTTTCACGCTGGAAAGAAAATGCCCCTTGGACATCATCCAGTCATGGCCTTCGTGAATCAGGAGAGAACAGGCCCTTCCTGAGCAAAGGGGGAAGGAAAGAGCGGATGGAGTGTGAAGCCGATGAGCAGAAACAGGGCTCAGATGAAAACATGTCGGAATGGTGAGATTTTGGTTTCTTCCCTGTGCTAGTCAGATGGCTGCCTTGCTTGCAGCTGCTTGTAAATCCTGTGCCTTGCTTTTAGAAGTCCTAACAGAAATATTCAGTGCTGTTCTTTTTGAAGAGGAGAAATCTCAGCTACTTCTAACTAGTTTTTTTCTAAGTCTTTCCTGTCAGTGCTGTACTGATGACCCAAAACACTTCTTGAAAAGTTGGAAAGCTGGTATGTTTCTGTCGTGTGTTACAGAAGGAGCCATGCGAAATGTCTGTGGGCCTGCAGGTTTGAAATGGTATGCTTGTGGTCTGAGGTCTGGAGAGTAAATTCACCTTTGGCACTTGTGCTGAGTGATTGATACGAACTGATCTCAGTTTCTTGTTTTCAGAATTTAATGTAAGTAGTAGTAGAGAACAGATCAGATCTCCTATCATGGCCACTAGCCCTCTGTTCAGGTACTATGTGAACCTCAGTCAAAATGTCTTGTTTGCAGTTCTCTATCTCTGCTCTGGATTTGCAATATGGTCCTGAAAGGCTAGCTATGAAGGAGATGTAGTGATGATAAAGAAGTTGGGCAAAACTGAATTAATACTTATGGCGTAAGCCTGTGCAAACAGTGGAGTCTGGCATGTCTTTCTGTCCAGTTTTGGAAGACTCTCACATAAGAGATGAAAATGAGAAATGTAAATGCCATGGTCTGAATTTGTTTGTATGTAGCTCTTGTAAAGTTTTCCCCTTGAGTGTGACTTTTATTCTCTTTGTTGAAAGTTTGGTGTTATGAGGGTGTGTCTGTATGAAGAGACTTTTCAGGTTGGAAAGGAAACTACAGCTGAGAATCAAATGGAGGAGATTTCATAATGAATGGCATACAGAAAGTGAATAGGGTTGTGTATTTGCTAATTCTAATTGTGTAAGAAGCAGGAGACATTGAAGAAACATTTAAAACAAACAAAAAGTATTATTTGTCATGAAACACAAGATTTGAAAATCTGCTGTGGGATGTTTTGGAGGCCAGAATTTTAAATGTGTCCAAAAGGGGGTTGTGGAGCATGGATTTGTCAGAGGCTGGTAAGCACTGCAGCCCAGATGGAAGGTCCAGCTCAGGAAGTCCTTAAATTGCTAACTGCTAGAAGCTGGAGGAATATACAGAGGAAACAGTCAGTCTGTATTTGTCATATTTTCGTATTCCTCGAGCATCTACTGTAATAGACACTATCAGAGGGAGAGCAGTGGATTTGGAAAGTATAATTGTTTGATCAGTATAGTTGTGCTTTTGTTAAGGTTCATTGAAGTGTCCTGGCAGTCTAGCTCCTGTAGTTTGTCAGGAGCCGACAGGTGACACTTTCTTATTGAGGGCTTTATGGATAATAGCTGGAAGTTCTCAATAATATTTTCTGGGAGACTCTAAAAAGCATAGGTTTTAATATGTGCTCTTTCCTGATCTGGGGGGCCGCTACTGCATTTTTACTCAATCAGTGTGGTTTTGTATGTAACCCTTACAGGGTGGAAGTGGAAAGTAAGTGGTCTTTTTTTCCTAACAAGTGACTATTGTTTGCTTACTGAGTGGATGCAAAGTGGGTCTTTTCAAGAGACTAGTGGAAGCCTTTTTGTCACAAGTTGTTAAAAGCACTTTTATCTCTTCACAGCTATTTACTGGTAGTCCAGGAAAGGGAGTGTGCTGAGTAGCCCCTGAATGTTGCATGTCAGTGGTGATGGACTGCAAGATGCCCTTACTTGATGTGGTGGACAGTCATGGACAGTGCTCCTTGAGGTTTTTTTTCCACCAGTCGGTCTGTTCCATCATGTCAGTCTTGAACTTAAACCAGCAGGCTTTCATCCAGCCTTTAGTTGTGCCAGCCTTTGAAAGAGTAAATAAACAGCTTTGTCTGGACTGTTACTTGAGTACCATGCTGGAGGATCACTTTGTTCTGTTTCAGATGTCTCTTGCTGTCAAACTAATTATTGTGCAGGTGTCAGCATCAAATGACATTTACCATCTGCTGCCAAATCCTTGGGATTCTCTTTGGAAATCCAGGGATTGGAATATTTGACCTCCCCAACACCACATATGTAATCTGTGCTATGACTCACAAGGGAGGGTCAAAGTTGGAGAGAGAAATACACACAACCCACTTCATAGCAGTGGCCCTCACAGCAGTGAGAAGGATTATGCTTTGGTCTCTGTCTCTCTAAATATAGCACTTTGCTGCCAGCAGCAGAGTGAGACTGGCTGTGCTTACCTCACTCATTTTGCTCTAGCTGTTTTTTCTAGTACTGTAAGAGCAGTACTTTGCACAGATGTGTAACAAGGGCATATCCCGAGGAAGGGACAAGAATATTGAATACCTAGGAGAGGGAATGGTATGGTTGTTACCACAAACGGATGGGAGTGAAAGAGACTTATACAGCTTGTGGGGTGTAGAAGCAGTCTGTGGTGATCTGGTCATGTACAAAACACTTTGATATTGGGTTGGTTCTTTAACTGTTAAGTCCTCTAGCAGTGGGGAGTGTCACAAAACTGATGTGTTTTTAAGCAAGCTAAGTTATATACTCCAAACTTCATTTATTTTTTCACTTTCTTTTTCTTCCCATCCACCAACACTTCATTTTCTTTCTTATGTTAAGAATGAACCCCTGTAAATGCCAACATATCCAGCATATTTCTCTAGTTTAAAAAAGGCTCCTTATCCTAAGCCAGATTGAAAACCTAGTGTGTTCAGTAGATAAACTCCCATTCACTGAGGAAGCTTTGGTTATGGATCCTTAATAAGGAGGTAGTTTTTATAGTTTGCCTGTGGAACTGTGCTTGGTCTTTTCCTGGGGGGAAGATGTGATGCAGTATTGTGATTCAAAGTGAGAAATCTTTGAAATTGTTTGCCAAACAGGGCAAGAAATGAACACAAGTTGGGAAAAGAAAGGATGTGCAGGAACATGACGGGGAAACGATGGCTGTAAACTGGGTAATGACATGACTCAAAGCCTGATACATAAATGATTGTGGGAACAACAGAGGAAGCAAGTGGTCTTAGTTTACTATGTAGCCATTTGTATATTTGTACAAAGATGACAATTAACTGCTAAAGCTGTTAGAAATAATGTGCTTCTGTCCCTTAATGCTTTGAGATTCCCTGCAGCCATAATAAAGCAAAAGCAAATTATATATTGAGTGCTGAAGTTCTTTCTCTCTTTGCTCTAAGTGAGTACTCAAAGAGTGGTCTGAATTTGGCTCTGGGGCAGAACAAACCAGAGCACAAGAGCTGTCTGAAAATCACTTTGAATTATGTGTTTACTAGTAAGAGATGTGCAGGTTGTCTAATTTACTGTCAAGTGCCATAACTCTTAATGTGACTTTTTCAAACTGGGGATTGTACTGACCCACCAATGCTGTGTGACGTCATTGGCTGTATACTGATGTATTTGCTGTGGTTTAACCCAGATAGGCAGCTCAATCCCTCACAGTGGGATGGTGGAGAGAATTGGAAAAGTGAGCAAACTTGTGGATTAAATCACAGTTGATTTAGCGGGTAAAGCAAAAGCTGTGTATGCAAGCAAAGCAAAACAAGGAATTAATTCACTGCTTCCCATTGGCAGACAGATGTTTAGCCATTTCCAGGAAAGCTGGGCTCCATCGTGCATAACAGTTACTTGAGAAATGAATGTCTAATTCCAGATGTCCCCCCCTCCCCTCCTTCTTTTCCTGGCTTTTAATGCTAAGCACTATGTTCTATGGTGTGGGATATCCCTCTGGTCAGCTAGGGTCAGATGATCTGGCAGTGTCCCCTCTCAGCTTCTTGTGCACCCCCAGCCTACTCACTGGCAGGGCAATGTGAGCAGAGATGGCCTTGATGCTGTTTAAAATGCTGTTCAACAATAACTAAAACATCAGTGTGTTACCAATGCTGTTTGGTTGCAGATCCAAAACATAACACTATAGAGCTAATATGGAGGAAAGATTAACTCTATCCCAGCCGAAACCAGTACAATATTCTATCCTGGGAGTGTAACCAGTGCTTACTCTGTGTGTGCAGTAGAGTCGCTTTACCCTTTGGAAGAGAGCTGTTTCAATGACAGCCTGCAGTGGCAGTCAAGAGCCTGGCTAAACTGATGAATTGGAGGCCAGTCTCTCTGTAAAGAAAAAATTTCTCTCTCTTGGAAGGCAAGTGACAAAGACAGAGTGTTCAGCTTCCCCTCCTTCTCCAGCCCAGCCTGACCTTCTGCAGCCCCTCGGTGCCTCTTGTTTTCTTATTTTTATAGAAAATCAATATCCTTCCTGACACAAACAATAGCTCAGCCGAAAGAATAAATGGGGGAAACCTGAGATCTCTGTCCATCACCTCTCACTTTAACTCCCCCAAACTATTTAATTATAAGCATGCTTTGCTCCAGGTGTTTGTGACAGTGAAATTGCTAAATGAGGACCATTTTAACCAAAGATTGGGTGATCAATAACACTCTATAGCACTAGCTTGTCGGATCAATAGCATTCATTATTTCATGGTTAAGGTAAGTAGCCCTCTTTGCAAGTGGAGGTCATTAATCAGTGCTTACTGGACCTGCAGAAAGCCTTGTGTAGGAGTCTAGTTTGTGTTCAGTCCTGAAGTGTAAAAGGGGTGGTGAAGAGGGTGAGATCCATGAAAGTTTGTTCCAGCAAAGCACTGGCAGTAATGCCTGTCTATAAAGAAACAAAAGAGCTCACAGTACAGCAGGATGCTTAAAGTGCTGTTCATTTGATCTGAAGTCTTGACTTAATGCTTTTCCCTTTCTCAGATACCTTTCCTCTGAGGATGTTAAAACCCTTATGAAGTAGTCACTCAATCCTTGCATCTGCTGCTTGTGAGGGCTATCAGTTCAGACTTTTAAAAGGGAAAACAGACACACTGAGGGATTTGCCCATGGTCATACAGTGAGTTGGTAGGAGAGCTAGGAATGAAACAAATGGTTCCGTTTTTTCAGTCCTTGGCCTTTATTACTATGGTGTATATGTGGGAGGGTGAATGACTAGCCAAACTTTGTAATGGATTGGTTTGGAATTTGATACTAACTTACATACTGAAATGTGGGAATGATGTGTAGACTGTTCATCATTTAAGTTTAAATGGACTTTATACAATGATGAGGAGGCAGAGTTTGTAGATATCCAGTACGATGACTTGATTTGGCTACACTTCAGAGTGTGTTTTCTAAGAACAATAATATTCTCATAAAATGGGCGTGCAGTTCTTTGGGCTCATGCATCTTGCGATTGCTCATTGTTCAGCCTTTTGAATTGAGTGGTGTCCAATTGATACTGGTGTCTAGTATGATCGAGTTTCCCTGGAAAAGATGGACCCAGATATGCTTTCTAAGAGCATACCCTGATCAGAGATTGATTTTAGTGCTGAGTTAAACCTGATGTTTGCATCTAAGGTCTTAGTGCTAAAGGGGAGGGCAGAAAGTAGTTTCTGCTTCTTCTGATATCTCTCAGCTAAATCAAAGAAATTATTGCCCAAGGTGTCCAAGGATTGATTTAGTATCAACATTAAAGCCATCAGATGCTTTGGACAGACCTAGGCTTGTATTCTGCTACAAATATTCATCCAGTTTTACAGTCAATTAACAACTTTCTACACATTAATTTCTAGTTTAATTCTTTAGTTGAAGAATTAAATGTCCTGTAACTGCTTCAGCAAATGCAAAACACGCTGTAATGTGGTTGCATTCAGCAGCAGCAAGTCAAGCTGTGCTAAGGTATGTAGCTGAAGAATTGTGATTGTATCAGCTGCTCTTCCCTCCAAATAGAATAAAAGTTGTCATACATTGAAGGGGTGTTTATGTACCTGTATAATGTTTTTGAGAAAAAGGAATCTGAAGTAGAAAATTTCAGAGGGTTTTCAGTACCTGTTAAGTGACCCAAGGACAGAATTTTTAACTGCATTTCATTTCCTGGTGAGGATTGCAGACAATGTCGTAGATAGCTTATTAACTCTAGTACCTGCGGCCAATGCCATTTTATTAATTACTTTTTGATAACTTAGAACTAGACTAGATACAGGATTCTACTTTTTTTTTCTTTTTTTCTTTTCTTTTTTTTTATTATTTTTTTTTTTTTTTTCCAAGTGATGCAGCATTGCTAGGTTTTAACAGAAAGCAATTATGTCCAATGCAAGAGCCAGCCATGTGCCTGAAATGCAATTTTTGTGAGATGTGTAAAATATTTTGGGCTCAGAGAAGCTAGTAAAATATAATGAAGTGGGTTTTGTTTTCCATCTGCTGCAATTTTAACAATGGGGTTTTGTTTGTTTTTGTTCCAGTGAAACCAGCAGTGTATGCAGCAGCAGTGATACTGGCCTCTTTACCAATGATGAGGGCCGCCAAGGTAATAACTGTCCTCTGATTTTCTTCATGTATTGCTGGGGAATTTATCTTACTTCCTTTAAAAATCAAAGATCTATATTTGAAGTGGGACAGAGAGGAAACCATGGGAGAAAGGCCAGTGTCTGGGCGGGGCCAGAAGTTAAGAAATGAGCTGAGGG